CCGCCCGGTGCCGACGACCGCGCCCCGGCGCCCCCCTCGTCTCACCGGCCTCGGATCCGGCCACCCCCTCCAACGCCGGCCACCGCGGCCATCGTTTCCGGCCACCTCGACCTCAGGCGCTACAGTGTTCTCCGGCGACCTCGTAATCCGTGCGGATCTCAGATCTGAAAATAACCCTAGGGTTGACTTTTTCCCCTCTCCCTATAATTTTTGTGCAAACTTTGACCTGCCGTATCTCCGTATCCGTAGCTCCGATTTGGGCATATAGTATATCAAAATGTTCGTCTCGACGAGTACATCATTTCATTCCATTGCATCATTTTCATTTGAGCTCATCTTGATGCCCGAAATGCTGCTAGAAGGAGGCTTCGTGAGATAATTGTCAGATCTGCTAGTTCATCTTAGACTTTTGTCATTTTGCCATGATTGTTGTGTGCATGATATGCCTGTGAGTCCCTCATATGTTTTGTTAAGGATTTTGTCTTCTTTCCAGAGGTGCAACCCTTGCATTTTTAGGATGTGTGTGGTGACTTGTGCAAGCTTGCAAAGTGAGGCACCCGGTAAATCTGTTTTCAGGGACTTAGTAGTTTTCACTAAGTCTGAGATTATTTAGTTCATGATGCCATATGTTCAGCTTGTTTCCTAGTGATCCGTGCCTCTTTTGAGGATGATCAGTAAAGGAGTTTTGTTAATCATGTTATGCTCTATCCATCCATGTCTTTGTTTGCAATTATGGAGCACCCTAGCTTGAGTCAATCAAGCTCTACTTTTGCTTCGTGGTGAATCTGGGCAGATCGTTAACTTGTTTGCGATTTTGCCGATGTTGTTGTAGTTGATCCGTGCATGCTATGCCATTGTTCTTGCCATGTCTAGCTTGTATTTTGTGCCTTCTTAATGGATGTATGCTTGCCTTGCCATGACTTGCACCGTAGTGCATCGAGCTCGTTTACATGCCTTCGTGAGTTATATTTCAGCATGTCTCAGTTTTCACCAAGTCTGAAAACTGATTGTGTTTTAGCTATGTTCGTGTGCCCGTTAGTATATTTTATGAACCCTTTTGGCCCCAGGTCACTTTGGGTCTTTTGTTAAGCTTGTTGAGTAGCTCCATGCCATGTTCTTCTTTGTCATGATCAGGTCATGTATCAGGTTGTTTTGCTGTTCCGAAGAGGGCTTCGTGATCCGAGATTTCAGACAAGTGTTAATTTCACTAAGTCTGAAATCTGTTTTGCATTTGCGTTTTTGCCATGCTTGTTTGAACCTCCTAATGGATGATTTGGCCGTAACTCAGTGCTAGACTTTTGTTAAGCATCTTGTGTGCATCCCTGCCATATATTTTGTTGTCATGTTTGGGTGTTGTAGCATGTTCTTTTCATTGCATTTAGATGCCTACTTGCTGTAAATCGCAGACCGGTGTCATTCTTAAAACGCTTGCCATTTCCAAACCGTAAATCCGATTCCGATGATCTTTATATCTTTTCAAGCGATTTCATCTCATCTTTCCAGTGGCACACTTGGAATTCCAAGTTGAGGCCAGGTTCATGCATTTCCTGTCATATCTTGCATTTTGCATCCCGCATCGCATCCCGCATAGCATATCATCATTGCATCGTATCGCTTGATCCTTGCACGTGGTTGATTTTGTCCTTGTTGCTTGTTTGTCTTGTTTGGGTAGATCCGGGAGACGAGTTCGCTACCAAGGAGCCCGTTGAGTTTGCTTGTGAGGATCCAGTCAACTCTGACAACTGTGCAGGCAAGATGATCATACCCTCGAAATCACTACTATCTTTGCTATGCTAGTTTGCTCGCTCTTTGCTATGCCAATGCTACGATGCCTACCATTTGCTTGTCAGCCTCCCAATTGCCATGTCAAACCTCTAACCCACCTTGTCCTAGCAAACCGTTGTTTGGCTATGTTACCGCTTTGCTCAGCCCCTCTTATAGCGTTGCTAGTTGCAGGTGAAGACTGGAGCCGTTCCTTGTTGGAACATTTATTTACTTGTTGGGATATCATTATATTATCTTGCTATCTTAATGCATCTATATACTTGGTAAAGGGTGGAAGGCTCGGCCTCTCGCCTAGTGTTTTGTTCCACTCTTGCCGCCCTAGTTTCCGTCATATCGGTGTTATGTTCCCGGATTTTGCGTTCCTTACGCGGTTGGGTTATAATGGGAACCCCTTGATAGTTCGCCTTGATTAAAGCTTTTCCAGCAATGCCCAACATTGGTTTTACCATTCGCCACCTAGGCTCTTTTTTCCCTTGGGTTACCGGAGCCCAAGGGTCATCTTATTTTAAATCCCCCCGGGCCAGTGCTCCTCTGAGTGTTGGTCCGACCGAGTAGACTGCGGGGCCACCTCGGGGTAACTTGAGGGTTGGTTTTACTCGTAGGATGTCTCATCTGAGTGTGCCCTGAGAACGAGATATGTGCAGCTCCTATCGGGATTTGTCGGCACATTCGGGCGGTGTTGCTGGTCTTGTTTTAACCTGTCAAAGTGTCTTGAGTTACCGAGATACCGAGTCTGATCGGAACGTCTTGGGAGGAGGTCTATTCCTTCGTTGACCGTGAGAGCTTGTCATGGGCTAAGTTGGGACTCCCCTGCAAGGATTGAACTTTCGAAAGCCGTGCCCGCGGTTATGGGCAGATGGGAATTTGTTAATGTCCGGTTGTAGATAACTTGAACCTTAATTAATTAAAATGAATCAACTAAGTGTGTTACCATGATGGCCTCTTCTCGGCGGAGTCCGGAAAATGGACACGGTGTTGGAGTAATGTTTGCGCAGGTTGCCCTCTAGTTTCTCGCTCGTGCTTTGCCTCCTCTTCTCGCTCTCTCTTGCGAATAAGATAGCCACCATATATGCTAGTCGCTTGCTGCAGCTCCACATATATTTGCCGTACCCTTTCTATAAGCTTAAATAGTCTTGATCGCGAGGGTGCGAGATTGCCGAGTCCCTGTGGCTCACAGATACTATAACTCCAGATGCAGGTCCAGGTGATTCCGCTCCAGGTGACGAGTACGAGCTCAAGTGGGAGTTCGACGAAGACTCTCAGCGTTACTACGTGTCTTTTCCTGATGATCAGTAGTGGTGCCCAGTTGGGGTTTGATCGGGACCGTGTCGCATGTTGGGTTATTTTCCATTTTGGCGCCGTAGTCGGGCCATGAGTGTTTGTATGATGCATGTTATTTATGTACTTTGATGTGACGTGACGAGTGTAAGCCAACTATGTTTCTCCCCTTTTATTACTTGTTACATGGGATGTTTGTGATGATTGCCTAACTTGCGACATTGCTTTCAATGCGGTTATGTCTCTAAGTCGTGCCTCGACACGTGGGAGCTATAGCCGCATCGAGGGCGTTATAATTCGGCACGCCTGCATCAAGGGGATAGGAGTAGCAACGATGTTGTCAAGATGGTGGCTTCAGGCTTATTGATGTATCACCTTGTATGGTCTTTGTGAATAATTAATAATATGGCTGCATGCATCGTCCAGATGCAGAGGCCGGAGGTACATCCTCCTTTTCTAAAAAAAACTGTGTTGAAGTACATTGTCTGTCTCTTTCCATCAGTTTGGACATTTGGATGAATTGGCTGGAACACAAGTTCAATACTTTGGAACAAAAGAACAGTAAAATGTAGAACTGAAATATCCTCACTTCCAATTCACACGAACTCGCATGTGAACTTTGTAGCAATGTTAAGAGGGGGAAAGTGCATGCAAGACACCAATAGGAAGAGATTCATGAGGTCCAACCTCTTGCTAGCTAGGAAGCATTTCAAATCCCCCCGCAAAAAAAATGAATCATTTCAAATTGAGATCTAAGGAACCAATTCATAAAACTTTCGATGTTCACATTGCTATTATGCAAAGGGCCTCCATGGGGAAAAAAATCATATGAACTGCAATTATGAAAATCCTTTGATAAAAAAAGGGCTCTTACTCATTAACTTGAAAGATTTGATAAATATATGCTTTGCATTCGCAAAATGTGACAAATCCTGAAAAGTAAGTAAAAAATAGCACAGAAGTATCCGGAATGGAGATTGCATTAGCTAACATTTGGTACAATAAAATAGTACAATTGAAGTGGAAAGAGCGGCTGGTGACTCATATAGTTTGTGCCATGCAGGCAAAAGAAAAGATCTCGAATTGCCAGAGTTGTGCATCTACAGTTGTTATGAATTCCGTCATCATTCCATTCACAGAATACCGCTAACCTCCCAGTTGTCGTTGTCCTCGTCGCGGCGGGTTCTCACAGCCTCTGAGTCTCCCTCGTCTTCGGGGAACCTACGATCATCCATCATACGCCTGCAAAAACAAAATGACATGCAGATATAAGCTTTAGTAAAAGAGACATGACAATGAAGTTTGGTCGCTGCAATAGAAAAACATTTGTGAGCGGCAATGCCCTGTCAAAAAATTGAAGATTTCTGAATTTTCGTTTCATGGTAGTGTGGTTTCCCAACGATATCAAACCACTAACAAAATTGTGCTCTTACCACCACCGCAGGCAGTGGGGCAATCAAGTTTGCTAACTTCTTTCTGTAAATTTCTATCACATTTGTACGTGTTCAAGTTCGTGCTGCACTTATTTGGCTTTGGCAGCACCACAAACACTGTCTGTCTGGACCCTTCATCATTATAATATAACAGCATGAAATTCTAAATCAATCCAAATCCTGCAGAATCCGTGTCACATTTCTGTTCCGCTTCCAACATCCAAGAAATGGCCTTTTCCACCGTCTGACATGAGACTAAGCTCGGACGTCTCAGATTCTCAAGTCTTCTTCCTACAGCATCGAGGAAAGGCAGCGTCAACGAGAGGTTTACCTGCGGCGGTTGCGGCGGCCGGCCTCGCGGGCCTTGCGGATCTTCTTGTCCTTGGTGTTCTCGTGCCGCCGGCGGCGCTTGATCTCCTGGAGCAGGCCGGCCTTCATCACCTCCCGCCGGAAGCGCCGGAAGATGGAGTCCTCCCCCTCGTTCTCGTCCACCACGATCTGCACGTTGTAGCCCTTGGCGGCCAGCACGGGCGTCGGTGCGCGGCGGGCGGTCATGTGGACCGCCGAAGGCGCGGAGCACTTCCCCGAGAACGGGGCCAGGGGAAGCTGGAGCAGGGCGCTCAGCATGGAAGTGCCAGTAGGGGCGGCCATGGCTGTGGCCTTCGACTAGTCGGCTCTGACGGTTGCTGCGCTCTCTTTGAGTTCCGGGTTTTGGATGAGGCTGGGGAAGGTAGGAGGCTGAGCCGGTGAGGCTTGGCTTATCCCCTTATTTATTTCTGAGTTTTGGAGGGAAGTGACATCTTTTTTCCTCTTTGGAATACTCATTTCTATTAATTCTATTCTAAGAAGAATTCAAACATTAAAAAAATTGGTACTCCCTCGGAGGGAGTACTAAAATGTTGTATTCTTTTTTGGATAAATAGCAGTAGACAGATGGAACTAAAATTACTATTTCCTATTTCTTGAACTGTTAACAACTAAATTTTGAACATTCGTGAAAAAGAGACTAAATTTTGTAAAATTAGGCTCATTACTGTCTTCTTCCTCATGTTGCTTACTCATACCAGCGTTCGACTAAACCATCACATATTTATTTGTGGCTGGTAAAATCTCTAAGTAATTGTTGCTCCTAAAAACAATAACCGGAAGATCGAGCGAGTGAGAATTTCTCATGAAAGTCCTATTCTGATCCCGAACTCATATGCACCCTGATGAATAATAAAATAGAAAAAAGTAATGAAAAAACAAATGAAAAACTTTGACAAATGATTTCTATTCATAACAAATTTCAGCACGAAATGACATTCGTGGAAGTCATGAAAAAAAACAGCACTCCAAAATGTTTACAAAACTATCATTTTTGGACCATCAACTTTGTTTTTTTGCCATGACTTCCACTAATTTCATTTCATGATGATTTTTTGCAAGCATACAAAACATTTGTCAAAGTTTAACACACAAAAAAAGATTTTTTTTTGATTTTTTTTACTATTTCCTAAAATTTTACTGTTCATCATGGAGCATTTGAGTTCGGGAGCGGATACTCCACGTCTAACTTCTAACCCTTTTTCGAAAGTTCGGCTAAAAATAAGGTTTCTGTTAACCTTAAAACCATATATTTCTTTTGATTAACACCAGTCTCCTCAGCATTCGATTTGATTGTCCTCCAAACGGGCGAAATGTGTTCATAGGGTTAACGTCGGAGAGTACCACACTGAAATGGCAAAGCTCAATGAATAGGGGTTTGGTGTTGGGTTCAACACCAATACCTTAGGGGTTTGACATTGTAAAATAATTTCTCTTCATGAAAAAGCTAGATTTGTTTTTTTCCAACGCCAATAAATGTGGTGTTGAGATAGACAAGTTTATTGTCGAAGAGGCTAGCATTGAGCAAAATGGTTAGATTGACTAAAGATAAGGAAGAAAAAGGTGAAAAAGAACACATATACATGTATAACGTGTTTGCTTTGGGGGCAGCAACGCAAACGCAGAAGTAATGAAGTTGTGTTGTTACTGTAAATGCAATGGAAGAAAATCAAAAGTTTAGTTGATGTAACGGTAACGCAAGCTAAAACTCTACTCATGTCGTGGAATTTGTCATGACAGATGTCCTAGTGCGAGGACTTAGTCGTGAGGCCAACGCATCTATGCGGTAGCTTGAAGGGGTTGGTCGGAATTGAGAGACGCAACACGCATGACAAAGTTTTAGACAACTTCGGGCCCCGGGAAACATCATCTGGTAATAGCCCTACATGTTGTTTGTGGCTAGGTCTCATTATGCTCATGAGGGAGACGCCGCATAAGCCGGCTCTCCTATAGTTGTGTTTAGCCTTAGCTATTATTTTCTGTCCCTCTTGGGGTGCCCTGCCCCTCCTTATATATGTTGAAGGGGCGGGTTACATGACTAGTCCTAATAGGATTAGGATTACTCTATTACAAGTGGAGTCCTAATCTTGCTTCCTTTGTAGGAGAATATTCCTTATGCCTTTCCTCTTAAGCCGGCCCACCATCACATGAACCGGCCTTCTGGGCCTTGGGCCTTGTCATCTATCTGACCCGTCGTCGGGGTCATCAGTGAGTGGAGAGATCCGGACAGGTCACCTAGTGAGTGGCCATGTTAGGGCGGGTCACGAGTGAGTCGTCAAGTCCGGCCGGGTCATACCGCGGGGTATATCCCCGACATTAGCCCCAGTTTAATTTGGATTTATCCATGTTAAACTGATCCTGCAAAATAAACACAAGAACAAATTTGACAGGTTGTGCTCCGGGTTAAAAATTCTTGTAAGCCGGCATCTGATCATCCTTAAGTCCTTGTCATTTCCTTCTTCTGGACAGTCTAGGTCAATAGACCAGCTTCATAATTAATTTGCTGACATTGGCTTCTCACAGCAATATATTGTGAAGAATATTTGATTCAGCTCCCAATGCTTAACAAAAATATTGGTCTTGAAATACTCATCTGATTTTCAGCCGGCTTATAGAACTTGCCGGTTTATCATTGCCAAAATATCTGGTTTGTAAATATTGATAGCACTGGGTCATAATTGTTGCCGACGCCGGGTCATAGTTATTGGTGACGCCGAGTCATGATTGTTGGTGACGCCGGGTCATGATTGTTGCAGACACCGGGTCAATCTATTTTGCTCAAAACTGAAAATTGGAAGATATCTCTCCCTTATATCCATATTACCTGTAGCCCCCCAGTCTTGAGCAGAACAAAGTGATGACTTAAGACTTGCTTCAATATAAATACTGCCACTTTGAAGAAATCCATGTTTGTTCATCTCAGTCACTAGTAAAGACTGAATACTCCATATATGTAGCCCCCAAGTGCCGGGTTGACATGCTTGCAGCAACCTGGGACTTGTAATTTCCTGATGCCCATGAAAACTTCAACCAATGTATCCCCCAAGTGCCGGGTCATTAAGCAATAATGAGTAGATATTTTGTAGATATGATCATGTAGGTTTGAACAACAACGTGTAGCCCCCAAGGGCCGGCTTAGTAAGATAATACTGAGTTAGGACTTTATACGTACTTCATTGAAAATAATATCATATGATGTAACCCTCACCATGGGGCTCGAACCCACGTCCATAAGGTTAAGAGATTTGTACTCTACCAACTGAGTAGTGGACCTTTCAATAAAATGGATTAAGACTTATGTACCTTGAATTTTTGACAGGAGCAATTGGTAGCTGATACGTCTCCAACGTATCTATAATTTTTGATTGCTCCATGCTATTATATTATCTATTTTGGATATTAATGGGCTTTATTTTACACTTTTATATCATTTTTAGGACTAATCTACTAACCGGAGGCCCAGCCCAAATTGCTGGGTTTTTTTGACTATTTTAGAGTTTCGCCGAAAAGGAATATCAAACGGAGTCCAAACGGAATGAAACCTTCGGGAACGTGATTTTCTCAACAAACTTGATCTAGGAGACTTGGAGTGGGCGTCAAGAAATAATCGAGGAGGCCACGAGGCAGGGGGGCGCACCCTCCACCCTTGTGGGCCCCTCGTTACTCCACCGATGTACTTCTTCCTCCTATATATATCCACGTACCCCCAAACATCCAGGAGCACCACAAAAACCTAATTCCAGCGCCGCAACCTTCTGTACCCGAGAGATCCCATCTTGGGGCCTTTTCCAGAGCTCCGCCGGAGGGGGCATTGATCACGAAGGGCCTCTACACCAACTCCATGGCCTCTCTCCGGTGATGTGTGAGTAGTTTACTTCAGACCTTCGGGTCCATAGTTATTAGCTAGATGGCTTCTTCTCTCTCTTTGGATCTCAATACAAAGTTCTCCTTGATACGTCTCCAACGTATCTATAATTTTTGATTGTTCCATGCTATTATATTATCCGTTTCGAATATTTATGGGCTTTATTATGCACTTTTATATTATTTTTGGGACTAACCTATTAACCCAGAGCCCAGCGCCAGTTTCTGTTTTTTCCCTTGTTTCAGTGTTTCGCAGAAAAGGAATATCAAACGGAGTCCAAACGGAATAAAACCTTCGGGAGCGTAATTTTTGGAACGAACGTGATCCGGGAGACTTGGAGTTGAAGTCAAGAAAGCTTCGAGGTGGCCACGACGCAGGGAGGCGCGCCTGCCCGCCCTGGGCGCGCCCCCGCCCTTGTGGGCCCCTCATGGCTCCCCTGGCCGACTTCTTTCGCCTATATATGTCCATATACCCTAAAAACATCGGAGAGCAGAATAGATCGGGAGTTCCGCCGCCAGAAGCCTCCGTAGCCACCGAAAAACAATCTAGACCCGTTCTGGCACCCCGCCGGAGGGGGGAATCCCTCTCCGGTGGCCATCTTCACCATCTCGGCGCTCTCCATGATGAGGAGGGAGTAGTTCTCCCTCAGGGCTGAGGGTATGTACCAGTAGCTATGTGTTTGATCTCTCTCTCTCTCTCTCTCTCGTGTTCTTGAGGTGATACGATCTTGATGTATCGCGAGCTTTGCTATTATATTTGGATCTTATGATGTTTCTCCCCCTCTACTCTCTCGTGATGAATTGAGTTTTCCCTTTGAAGTTATCTTATCGCATTGAGTCTTTAAGGATTTGAGAACAGTTGATGTATGTCTTGCATGTGCTTATCTGTGGTGACAATGGGATATCACGTGATCCACTTGATGTATGTTTTGGTGATCAACTTGCGAGTTCCGTGAACTTATGCATAGGGGTTGGCACATGTTTTCGTCTTGACTCTCCGGTAGAAACTTTGGGGCACTCTTTGAAGTTCTTTGTGTTGGTTGAATAGATGAACCTGAGAATGTGTGATGCATATCGTATAATCATACCCACGGATACTTGAGGTGACATTGGAGTATCTAGATGACATTAGGGTTTTGGTTGATTTGTGTCTTAAGGTGTTATTCTAGTACGAACTCTATGATAGATCGAATGGAAAGAATAGCTTCGTGTTATTTTACTACAGACTCTTGAATAGATTGATCAAAAAGGATAACTTTGAGGTGGTTTCGTACCCTACCATAATCTCTTCGTTTGTTCTCTGCTATTAGTGACTTTGGAGTCACTCTTTGTTGCATGTTGAGGGATAGTTATATGATCCAATTATGTTATTATTGTTGAGAGAACTTGCACTAGTGAAAGTATGAACCCTAGGCTTTGTT